GGTCGGGTCGCGCTGTCGAACGAGTAGGCGCTGACAGGGCGCCGGGTAGGTTGGGGGCTCGGCGTCAGTCTTCCCTGCCGTCCGGGCCCCCTGAGGGCGGTGGTCGGGACGAGGACATTGGTGAAGCGGCATTGGCCTTTGCACCCCACCGCCTCGAGAACCCCCTTCCCCTGCGACCCGGGCGAGCCGGGTTTACGTTGCCGGGCGTCCGCGGGTGCGGCGTTGTTGTTTTCTCCCTCGCACTCCATTGCTCCATTGTCCTAGGCGGACTTCTAATTTAACACCTGGCGAAATACCCCAGCAAGCCAGGGACCACTGCGGTCCACCGTTTCTTTGCAGCTAGCAGTGTTGCAATTTTTATTCTCTGAAAAGGTTTTGCCATCTAGAGAGGCTTAAGTCAGTGGAGAGTATTTTATTAAACACGATTGATAGAGTCTTCTCCGCGCCCTAGAGGCGCTTGTTAAAAATGCAGCTTTCTTAGCTGTCGGTTGCTGAATGGTAATTGCTTGGCCTGGGGTGTGGCTCAAGAATCCCCTCTGCCTGATTCTTAGGTTTTCGTTTCTGCCCACATTTTGACTACATGAAGGACCAGAAATCAGCAGTTTTTCTTTAAAGCACCTGTAGGGTTTCTGGTGTGGAGCTAAAGTTAAAAAGAAAAAAAAAAAAAGGCCTTAACAAGGTGCATTCTTTGTTCTCTGGCTTGCTAGTGTGGATCTGATCTTTCCGGATGCTTGTTGACAAGTCAGTTTCTATTGAACGGTGCTTTCTGGGACCAGAGACTGTGCAGTACATGACACGCTTTGCACACCATTCTGAGTCACACCAGCATGAGAATCCTTTTCCACAGTCTTTGTGTGAGCGATTTTCAGATTTGTCTTTTCAAATACTGGGTGGTTTTCCCCAATCCTACTTCTTTGGAGCACTTTGCCTTGTCCTGAGCCCCCACGACCTTATTCATTCAGCTGTGGTGGTGGGGAGTGGTGGGCATGAGCCTCAGAGAAACTTCTGACCCTCCTGCTGTTGCTTCTTTTGGTAATTGAGAGTAGGACCTCCAGTCACATGCACGTGGCATGTAGTCATCTTTGACATGTTCTTTTTTTTCCCCAGTCCCATGATTAAAAAAAATTTTTTTCATCCAGGATTTATTCTGGAGATTTTGGTGGGTCCAAAAGTGCAAATCCTAGGGATTTTGTATTGTTGAAGGTGGCAGTATCTTCCATTTCTACTCTGTTCCTACTGCCGGGCCCCTTTTCTGTGGGCTGCTTGGAGGAATCTATGACCTGTGCCTAGAGTTCTGGTTCTTTGTGTTTTCCCAGTCTGGCTGGTGTACAGTGCAAGGAGATAAGTTTTCTTCGGTCTTGTCTGAGTGTGCCATTCCCCTCTTCCTCCTTTTACTAAAGCTCAGTTTCTCCCCTCATGCGTTGCTGTAGAGGGGCTGAGAAGTTGAGGAGCTGTAGAGGACTAAAAGGGAGGCCAGGACGAGGCAACTGCGTACCCTTGGGCCTCTCGGATCCTGCTACTCGGGAGTGGTCTTCTGGGTCTGGAGCTCGTTCTGCTGACTGCTGCAGAACTAGAACATCTTATACAGGGCTCACAGTGTCTGGTGCAGGCCTTAGCCTCTGTTCTGGCGATCTAGAGAACACAGTGGTTGAGAGTAACGTAGCAGGGCCTTTGTCCTTGGAGAGATTACAGATGAGGTTGCCTTGGCTCTCAGCCTCACCTCTCACTTCTCTCCTGAAGGCCTCCTCACGGCACTCCTGGGATGCAGCTGCTCCATCAGCACTCTGCCCCTGAGCTGGGGCTACCCCTTTGCTTGGCGTGCCCTTGCTCATTTCCCAGCTCGCGTACTTGGCCTGTTCTTGAGGTCTACACAGAAAGGTCCTTCTGTGGCAACCCAGCAGAGAGGTAGCTTCTCTTCAGACCTCATGGCGATTTGGGTTCCTCTGGCACTGCTCTACCTTGAATTAATTGTAGCTCAAGGTTATCACCTTGCTGCATTTGCTTTTTGCATCCTGTGTGGCAAGTTGCTTATGTATGCACACCTATTATGTCATCTGTAAAATGAAAGATAATATTTGCTCTACGGAATTATTTACAACCTCAAGAGCGTAGCTATGAAGCGTCTCTTAAGCTAGAGTACTATGTAAATGCTGCTGTCATGAGAGTCTCTCATCATGTGAACTGACGCTTATGAGGGTGCTGTAGGACTCCCACAGGGTAGCATGCATCTTGCATTTAACATTGCCTTTCTTACCCTTCTCATGGTTTATTCGGGCTCACAGTCTGGTCCATGGTCTGCTTCAGGGTAGAAATATCATGGTGGAAGGGTGTGGAAGACTAACCTCATGGGAGCCAGGAACCAGAGCGAGGAAGAGGCCAGAGAGGGGAGAGCCGGGGACAGGAATATACCCTTGTGGGCTTGCCCCAGTGAGCTGCCTCCTGCAGACGGGCTGAGGTCCCCAGAGCTTGATCTGTCCTCCGGCTTCTGAGCGCACAGTGCCAGGGTGGGGGGGCATTTTTGATGCAGACCATAGCAGTGCCCCAGACATATGCATGCAGCACAGGTGGGGCCTTGCCCCTTGGACTCCTTCCTTCTTGAGAGTCTTTTGGCTCCTCCTCTGTCTCAGGCAGCACATCAGGCATGGGGAGCACGATGGTGGTAGAGCAGCTGGAGGCCCTCACCAGACCTAGGAGGAGATTTTTATTTTAATTTCTTAACTTCTGGGAGACTCATAAGAATAGTACAGTGAACCCTCTTACTCCTTACTCAGATTCACCAACTATAAGATTAAAATTAAGGTTGCAAGGTGGATGTGGTGGTGCACATTTGCAATCCCAGCATTCAGGAGGCTGAGGCAGGAGGATCACCACTACCGAGTGAGACCCCACCTCAAAACACCATAAAATTTAGGTTGCAAACTGCTTATGTCATTGTATTCTGGTTAATGCCGTAATCACTTTTGTTGAGGTACCAAGCCCTCACTTAGGTCCTTAAAATGGAAAGGTGAGTAAGGTGTGACCTCATGCACAAGGGTTTCACAGTAAAGTAATGCTGTGATGCATCATCGTTAGACGGAACTGAAGCCCCGCGTGAAGTGTGGGCGGACCTGGTGTCATGGTGAGTGAGGAGAAGAACAGGGCAGCCTGAGCCCCACCCTGGCACGAGCTTCACAGGCTGTGCTTGGTCCCTCACTAGCGTCCACTGGGCCCTGCGTTGGTTCTGGAGCAGTACGGTGCGGGTGCCTGTGCCTGGGCTGTGTGGGTGCTGAGCAGGGGAGAGAGTGGGGACAGCGAGTGCAGCCTGTGTCACTGGGTGGGGTTGAGGGTTTTGAGCGAGGATGGCTGCTATGGAGTTGGGATGCGAAGTGGTCCTTGGGAGGCTTCTGTGCAGGCAGATGTGACAAGGACAAGTGTAGAAGCCTGCTGGGAAGGGGATAAAATGGGTCCCGAGACAGAACAACAGGTTAGGGAATCTGGTGAAAGGCGAGCTTAGGAGATTCTGGTGTTCTGTCGTGATGGAAGGTACCACAGCTGACGGCGGGTTTCTCAAGCTCCTGTGCTAGGCCCTGTCCTAGGGCTTTTGCATGTAACTATGCAGGTATGTGAGGGTAGGGAAATGCAGGAAGTCAAGTCAGGAGACCCGCTTGAGGTAATGCCAACGCAAGTACGAAGGCTTTTGTCAATCCAGTCTGGTCCCAGGGTGTGGACTCCACCCTGCACAGAGCTCCCCTTACAGAGGCCCTTTCTCTTTTTCTTTTGTGGCACTGGGAATCAAACTCAGGGCCTTCACACTGAGCCACATTTCCAGTCCTTTTCATTTTTTCAGATAGGGTCTCACTAAGTCACAAAGGTACCCGGGCTGGGCTTGAATGCGGGATCTCCCTGCCTCAGCCTCCTGAGTGCTGGGATCATAGGTGTGCACCACCACTCCCGGCTGCACAGTTTTGTTCTTGTGATGAGATATTTTTGTTTTTCCTAATGGAACGATTGTAGACTTGTGTCAGAGCAGAACAACACAAAGGTGTGTAGGGGTGGGGGTCATCATCGGCTCGTTTCAGTCCTGTATCAGGAAGATCTCTGCCAGCAGAGTCCTGTGCCTCCCAATCCTCCCGGGATGTCTGTGTGCGCACTGGACAAATGCAGGGCTCCTTCTGTCGCACGTACTCTCCACCATGGGCTTCACGTGTCGGTGTCGCGTTCCCCTTTCTTCGGTGTGTGGATGCTTGTCTGCACTCACACACGTGACTCGAGTGTCAATCGTTCGGAGACTCTGACTGGACCTGATGGCGCCGCCTTCCAGGGCAGGCTCACAGTTCAGGGAGGCGGGTCTGGCTTCGGGTGTGCAGGAGCTGCTCGCTCTGGACTGCACAGTGGAAATCCTGTGTAGAAGGAGAAGGGAGTAAGGATAAAGCTGTAATTAAAGGGCAGCAGTCACTGCGTCACCCCGGGTGGGGAGCCGTCTGGGCGTGTCGTGGTGGACCGCATTCGTTTTAGCAGTGTTCACATGGGACTCACAGCGGCCCTGCTTTGTCCTGGTTGTGGTCTCAGAGGGGTGCTGTGTGAGGGTACTGCGCTACACACCACGGCCTCACTGTGCATGCCAGGCCGGTGCCTGCTGGTTAGGGCTGCTTCCCTTTCTCTCTCCACCCCTGCTCTGTAGGCCCTGTGCTGGACCTGCACCTGGGAGTGGAGAGCTGGGGAGAAGCCAGGCTCCCCATGTCCTCTTCACAGGGACACCTGCACCACCACTTCGGGGCTTTGGGGCCTGGAGGTGGGGAGAGGGTGGCGCTTGTAGCAGGGTGCAGTGATGGGTGCAGGAATTGAACCTGCGAGGTGAGTTCTGCAGGTGCCACTAGGCTGAAATGTGGACTGTGAGAGGGAGGAGGGGAGTCACGGATGCTTTCCAAGTGCTGGGCCCAGGAGCTGCAGCGTGTCAGACTGGAGACAGCTAGGGGCAGGGGCTCCGCTTCTCACTTGGCGTGGTGTGGAGGAGGTCTGGGGGTGGGCCGAGCTCCTGCTCAGGTTGAGTTGGGTCAAGATGAGTTACGTCTGGGGAAGGACACCTGTCTTGTCAGCATTCCAGCGGCCGTGCATTGGGGCCTGGTTTGCCAGCATTGAAGGTTAGGGGCTAGGAAGGTGCTTAGTAGTAACTTAGCTCTTTTCTAACCACAAACTGTTTTGTTTAATTTGCTTTTAACAGGTATTGACATAAAGATAACTATACCTTTCTGTGAAAATGTCAGTTCTAATATCACAGAGTGTGATAAATTATGTAGAGGAAGAAAACATTCCTGCCCTGAAAGCTCTTCTGGAAAAATGTAAAGATGTTGACGAGAGAAATGAGGTAAGACCGAGTTTCTAAACAGAACTATTTGTGGACTGCCTGGTCCATGCAAGGACCTGCGCTGAGGCGACAGGCCATTGAGGAGAGAGGGGTCTCGGCTCTCGGCCCTTAGAAGATGAACAGGGTGAACTGAGGCTTGTAGTGTACTTTTCGGTCCCCAACGGAATAATCATTCCAGGAAACTAAAATGCTTCATCTAGGCAGGCAGCGGAACCACTGAGCTAAATCCCCAGCCCCTAAAATGCTTCTTAGGGCCTGGAGATTACTGAAGACTCACTCTTCCTATAAATAGATTAGCTAGACAGAATTAAGGCTTTTAAAAAGCTTTTTTCTGAGTCATTTAAAACCAGATCAGAAACCTAAGTATAAGACCTAAAACTCTTTTTTTAAGAGTAGGAAAAATTTATTGAGGGAAAGAAAGCTTCTGTCTAAGAGAGACAGAAGGGGGAAACTTTGCAACTCCTTGAAGAGAGCATAAGGGGAATAATTGATGTCACAGACAAGGCAAAGACTTCCCAAATAGCGCATGAAACAATAGCAAGAAGGAACAGAGGGGCCGAGTGGAACTTGGAGCTCCTCACAGCAGAGGAAGCTGTCCGTGGGAGGGCGGGAGGGTGTGAGGGAAGCCTGGGTTGCTGTTCTGGCAGAGGACACACGTCCAGGGTGTTCAGAGAGCTCTAGCACCTTAACACCAGGAGCAGATGGTGGGCAGACAGACTTAGCAGGGTCTTCTCAAAAGAACTGAAATACTATATTTCCAATATAGTGTATTTCTTGCCAGCAGGCAGATAAGATGGCTGAGTAACGATACTTTGCACATATATGTGCGCCTGTGTGCCCATAGTGTATCTGTGTGTAGAGGGTTGAAATGTTTTTGTGCTCGGGTTGAACTCAGGGCCTCACACATGCTGGCAAGTGTGACCACTCAGCTATGTCTACAGCCCTTTTCATCCATTTATTTTGAGATGGTTTCTCTTAGTTGCTCAGGCTGACCTTGAAATTGTAATCTTCCTACATCAGCCTCCTGATAGCTGGGGGTTATAGGCATGTTTGCTTGCTTGCTTTCTTTTTCGAAGCAGGGTCTTACTACATTGTTCAGGCTGGCCTTGAACTTACTAGGGAGCCTAGGCTGACCTTGAACCCTCAGTGATTCTCTTGTCTCAGCCTCCTAATTGCTGGGATCATAGGCATGCACTGCTATGCCTGTTGTGGTATAAATTTTAACCCTGCTCTGTTTGCTCTCAAACTATAATCTGTTTGTTCCCTCCCACCTTTCTTGGAGTCTTCAGAATGAAATTCACCTAATGTTAATGCCTATGTTTTTTATAATAATGCCTATATTTTTAATGTTTCTTTGTTTAACATATTTTGGTTAGTTAACATCACACCTTCCTATGATCATGCATAGTGAGTGAAGGTTTTTATAGATATTTTCTTAGCATATTGAAAATAACAAAATGTATTATTTTAAAAATACTGTGTTGGGCCTGACATGGTGGTGCATGCCTATAATCCTTGCACTTGGGAAGCTGAGGCAGGAAGATAGCTGTGAGTTTCAGGCTAGCCTGGGCTCCTTAGTGAGATCCTGTCTCAATTCCCCCTCCCCAGATAAGGTGAAATAGGATTCTAGGAATTAGGAAGACTGATGCAGTGCCTGAATGGTAGGTGTTTGTGCAGCCCGGGCCTCTGGGGAGCTGAGATACAGGTGAGCGCGGGCAGCCCCGTTGGTGACAGTGTCTCATCCCGTGCTGGCCTGGAGTCACCGTGAGTAGGGAAGCAAGGGCCTAGTCTGTCTGCACTGTGTTTGTGTCACATTTCTGTAGGCCAGGAGATTTCTAAACAAGTGTGGAAGCTGAGAAGTGCAAGGTGGGGCTGGCGCTGTGTCCCAGCCAGGGAAGGGAAGGGAAGGGAGCCTGGGCGGTGAGGAGAGGTGGGGACCCTGTGTCCTCGAGAGCAGCACTGTGGGGCCCGGCCAGGCTCGAGACTCTTCTGCTCTGCAGTGTGGGCAGACCCCGCTGATGCTTGCGGCCGAGCAGGGGAACCTGGAGATCGTGAAGGAGCTGATTAAGAATGGAGCCAACTGCAACCTGGAAGACTTGGTATGTACCCGCACAGCGGCTGTCTCCATGCTCCTCCTGTGATTTGCTCCTTTGTTCCTGAGGAGAGAGTGACTGGATAAGAAAGCGGACTGCAGGCCCCTCACCTCTGCCTGCCTGTGCTTCCAGTGAAGGCCAGGCGGGTCCCCTCCTCTGGTGCTGGCTGTGCAGGGGGCTGGGGAGTGGGGGAGGGGGTTTAGCTGGGAACCGCCCTGCAGGGCGTTCCAGAGCAGCGTGCTGTAAACAGGAAGTGCGCGTGGGCTCTGGAGGCTGTGGTCCCTTAGGATTGTTGCCCCCGAAGGCTCGGGATCACATTTCTTCTGCTTTTCTGTTTTCTTGGACTACCTTTGAGGGCTGCGCAGCTACTTTTTTTTTAATTGGATAATCATTTGAATTAAATTGCTAAAATAGGATTCTTGTATCCTTTATTTGAAGTATGTAGGAAGGGCCGGGGATTTAGCTCAGTGGTGCCACCGCCTGCCTCACAAGCATAAAGTCCCAAGTTTGATCCCTGGTACCAAAAAATAAAAACTTTAAAATTAAAAAAAAAAAAAAGTGAAGGAGTCTAGTTCTTTTTCACCTAATATCTAAACTCACCATGTGGAGCCCCTGGTTCTAGCTTTTACTTGAGTGTATAGTCCAGGTCGCCAGCTGGGCCAAGCCAAGAGGTGTGGGTGGTCCTGTCTCCCCGAAGGCAGCAGCCGTGAGCTATGAGACACCACAGGTAGCAGAGTGTTTTTGAGCGCCCAGGGTCGTGTCAGTGGGTCAGACTGTGTCAGTTCACTGTGATCATTCGGTGTGTACCCTCACATACATTTTCCCTGCTTTGGAATGTGACTTTTGGTTTAAAACCCACCATCTCTGCATCTGTGTTCCAGGATAACTGGACGGCGCTCATCTCTGCCTCGAAAGAAGGGCACTTGCACGTCGTGGAAGAGCTGCTCAGATGTGGGGTAGACTTGGAGCACCGGGATATGGTGTGTGCATGCCCCCAACCCTAACAGGAACGCCGTGAAGTCTTACTTCCATGTCTGAGACGATGTTACTGTTTTTAGGTTTGAGGTTGAATGTTAAAATGATCCTCAAGAATGTCTTAAACCCAGGCCTTACAATGTCCGTGTCTTTTTCTCTCTGTTTCTCTTTGTTTTTTTGAGACAGGGTCTCACTATGTAGTTGAGTCTGACCTAGAACTCACTATGTAGCCCAGGCTGGTCTTGAACTCACAGCGATCCTCCTGCCTCAGCCTCCTGAGTGCTGGGATTACAGGTGTGCACCACCACACCTGGCTCTCTGGCTCTTTTGTTGTTGTTGTTGTTTTTCTTTTGGTTCAGTGTCCTTTTAAAATGTTCCTAGTGATCATTTTCAGTTTAAAATTCTGAAATATTGTTAAAAACAACTCACTATTTTGTAATATTTAAGTATTTTAGAACTGAAAATCGTGACCTTTAGATATGACTTTTAAGGACATGGTACGGTTTTAAAAATATATTTGTAAGTTGTTGTAATTTTCAGAATAACATTTCTAGACCCCATTATAAAATGTAATTCTCCCAATGGGGGGTCGATCAGGGCACTGCCATTAGGTGTCATTGTTCCCTGTCAATGGAATAAATTTATTTTACTTCAAAAAAAAAGTAATTCTGAGGACCAGGGATATAGCTCAGCAGCACAGTGCCTACCTGGAAAGTGCAAGGCCCTGAGTTTGATTCCCAGTACTGGAAAAAAAGGAAAAAACTAATCCCACTCCGACCTGCTATCTGTATGCATGACAAGTTGAATAAGACGTGATCCTTAATTATCACTTCACACTTACTTGATTTTGGCGTTTGGTTAAAGCGTGAAGGGAAGAAGAAGGACCATTTTTGGCTCATTGTCGCAGCGTCTCACTTTGTCAGAGTGACCTCTAACAGTAGGAGAAAGGAAGGAGATGGCCTGCCTTGATACATAAGATGGTGTCACTGAGATCTGAGTTCTGGAGAAGTCCTGCCATTTCCCTGTCAGGACTCTCCACACTGATTTCCACAGTGGTGGCACCAGTTACCAAGAGTGAAAAAGGTTCCTTTTCCCCCCACATCCCATCCAGCATTTGTTATTGGTTGATTTCTTTCTTTTTTTCTTTTTTGGAACTGGAGATTTAACCTCAGACCTCGCACTTGCCAGGCAGGTGCTGTGCCGCCTAGCTAAATCCCCAGCCCTTATTGGTTGATTTCTTTTTTCTTTTTGATACTGGAGATCAAACTTGGGACCTTGCACTTGCAAGACAGGCAGCGAAACCACTGAGCTAAATCCTTGGCCCTGGTTGATTTTTTGATAGCAGCCCTTCCTTCTTGAGTGAGATAAAATCCCAGTGTTGTTTTAATTCTCATTTCACAAATGACCAGTGATGTTGAACATTTCTTCATATATTTATTGTCTGTTTCTAATTCTTCATCTGATAAGTGTCTTTTTATTTCAAATGTCAATTTTTGGATGGGATCTTTAAATTTGGGGAGGGTCTGATTTTTTTGAGTTCTTTACATAGTCTTAGATATTAGTCCTTTATCTGAATAGCTGGTTCCCACTCTGGTTGTCTTTTCACTGTGTTGTTAATTTTTCTTGCTGTACAGAAGCTTTTTAATAAGATGAGATCTCAGTTGTTGATCATTCTGTCTTCTTATGTTAATATATTTAGGTGTTGTTTTCTTGAGATTAAAAATTTATCTCATAGATAATTTGCTTGGGGTACATTATTCAAATTAAAGTGAGGGCGTGGTCTTTGAGAAGTTCTGGGCACACATTTTACAGGTTAAAATACTAGTGTAAGCCTTGGCTTGATTAGGTGTCTAGCTCTGTAACTGACCTAGCTAAATCTTTTCATGACTTTGAAGAGCCCTCCTCTGTACCCTTAGAATGTACCTCTGTTTGGACTTGTCTGATGTTTCCCATGATGGGGCTGAGGTTGTGCTTTGCTCCTGAGAGCACTGCACAAGGCTGTGCCCTCTGCACTGCCCCAGCACGTGTACTGGGTGATGTTAACTTCGATCTCTTCGTCTATGTGACCATCACTCATGTACCCATCAGCCATCTGTCCATCCCCCGTCCCATTCATCAGCCATCTGTCTGTCCACCCATCATCTGTCTGTCATCCTTCTGTCCATCCAGCGACCCATCCACCCGTCCACATTCTGCTTGACTCTGAGAAGTGCTCTCCTGCAGTGCAGCTCCCTGAGGTACAAACCCCTGATGTGCCCGCCGTGGCTCCACCGTTTCAGAGTTCCCTCATCACGTCCTTTATGATCCACTCCTCAGCTCTCTGCCCAACCCCTGGCTGCCACTGATCTGTTTTCTTTCTCAGTAGTTTTGACTTTTCCAAATTAGGATAAGCACTTTTTATACTTTTCTAATGATGTTGAAACAGGATTAGAAGGATTGAGTGATTATAGTCTCAGAACCAAATATGGGTTAGTCCAAACGCTAATTTTAAAAAGCAAAGAGAACTTTTCAGTCCTCAGTAAGATTTGGTTACACTGTCCTGTTTTACTGGACTGTGTTATAGCTCAAGAGACCTGTGCTCCTGAATGTTGTCCAGCAGTGAGTTTGTACTTGTTGGCCTTGCCCACCCCTTCCTGAGCATAGATCTCCAGGATTTGAAAGATCTATTTAAATACAGGAAATACTTAAATATTTCAGTTCAGGAGTTGACTGTGTTTGTTGCAGTGCCTGTGTGGGTAAAGGCCAGACCATACAAGGAAGAGGAGAGCTAGGGACCTGGAAAGTTTTCTGGAAGCAAGATTTTAAACAGCCAGGAGTCTTAGAAATTTGAAGAGTCCAACGTGAACATTTTATTTCAGCTTTTGTAATGCAGTACAAAGTGTAATCATTTGTGGATATGAGATTTGATTGGTTTTATGTTCTATTGTATATTTCCCTGGAGATTTGGGGAATTTAAAACTCGGTAGTACCATCTCCAGGAAGCAATGGTTTTATAAAGATGTATGAAGAAGGAACTTGACTTGTGGCATTTTTGTGCTTGGCAATGGTCTACTTTGCCCTTTTTCTTCTAGGGCGGGTGGACCGCGCTCATGTGGGCCTGCTACAAGGGCCGCACCGACGTGGTAGAGCTGCTTCTGTGTCACGGGGCCAACCCAAGTGTCACTGGTCTGGTAAGCATTAAGGGACACGTCCTTGCTGGTTTCCTAGGGAATGCTTTGGGCAGGGGTGGCAAACCTTTCAGAGACAGCGCCCAAACTGCAACCGAGCCCACTTACTGATCTCAGAGTGCCAACACTGCAATTAAACCAGAATACTGAGGTTTTTGTTAAAAAAACAACTCATACCTTAATGTCTTTTGTCTTAAAAACACAATAACACACGTGCTGTAGTTCACCACCTCTGTTTTCGCTGCTCATACTTCACAGTAGGTAGGATAGGCCTTTTTTAGAGCACACTAGATACAAGGTAGACTGATTTCGGAACACAATGAGAATTTTGTAAGTTGTCTTTATTCCTTAATTTTTGTCAACAAAAAAGCAATTCTTAGTGCTCATGTTCATTAAAATTGTTTATTTCCAAAGGCGATTTTGAAATCCTAAGCATTCTTGCCATCTTTCTGTGAGTGTGCATCTGGGAAAGACATTTACCAAGTCACCATGCCTTCTGTCTGTTGGTGTATCCGTACTCCTTTTGTTTTGTGTTCCTCTCAGTAGCCCTGCCTTTGGCTAGATAATTACCCTGGCTGTGTTAACGCCATGAAAATGTATTTACGGCATATGCTTATCTAAGGTTGAGTGTATCTTAGTTGTCAGTTGTTTTTAAATTGGAGAAAGGGCGGTAACTTAAAAAAATACTGTTTTTCTTATACCCATCGATACTTGATTCTTATCGATAGGTATTTGCAGATAGGTGTTGCAAAGGTCCACCTCAAAAGTGTTCTTCCTCACTGCGTCTCCTCCGTCCCTCCCTGCCCGCTCCCTCCCTCCCCTCTCCATCCCAGCAGTACAGCGTTTACCCGATCATCTGGGCGGCCGGGAGAGGCCATGCAGATATTGTGCATCTCCTGCTGCAAAACGGTGCCAAGGTCAACTGCTCGGATAAGGTAGGTCAGCAGAGGCTGCCCGCAGTGTGCCGGGGGTGCTCGGGAGCTGCTCTAATGTGACAAGTTTTTTTTTTTTGGTACCCCGGATTGAACTCAGGACCTTTCACTGTCAAGGCAGGCGGCGGAACCACTGAGCTAAATCCCTGGTCCTTTTTGATGTAGTTTGAGACAGGGTCCCTGTGTCATTTAGGGTGGCCTTGACTTGGGGCGGTCCTCCTGCCTCAGCCTCCTGAGTGCTGGGATCATATTATGGCACTGTTTGCATATTGCGGCAGTGTGTATAGAGACTTGTGTCATAGATGGAGCCCTGCATGGCCCTGGGGTGTTCATCATGTCACAGTCATGGTTCCTGAGAGGACAGTCTGGGGCCAAGGGCTTTCTGGCTTCATCCGGTCCTGTCATAGCTCTCCTTCCTGCCGTTCATCCTTTTTGCTTCCTCTGCATTGCTGTGGGAAGGACCTTCTGAAAGTACAGCTCTGGCTATCTCTCCCTTTTGAGTTTAGGACCCCAGAGACTGTCCCAGGCTGCTGTGAGGCTTCCTGCAGCCATTGGCAATCAGGCACGAGGTGCTGTGGACCCTGCAGGGCTCCAACACACCTTGTGTTGCTCTGTCCCTGCCTGATGAGCTCCTGTTTATCTTCAGACTTACCTGAGTGTTGCCTGGAGAGGTGGGCATTCAGGGCCATCTTCTCTTGGAACAGAGAGCTCAGGACCCAGTCCTCATAGCCTGGCTCACTGTGCAGTATCTGTTGCCTGAAGAGAGTGACATCTTTTTGTTCTTCCAATCAAATTCATATTATTCCATTAGCCATTTTAGGTTAATAACTATGTAGCAAAACAGGCACACACGCCTGTAATCCCAGCACGCAGGGAGGCTGAGGCAGGAGGATTGCAAGTTTCAGCACAGCTTGGGCATTTTAGCAATTAAGTGAGACCCTGTCTTACAATAAACTTTACAAACGGGCAAAGGATGTAGATCAGTGCAAAGGCCCAGGGTTTAATCCCTAGAACTGCAAAAACAGACACAAAGTATGGGAAGCAGTGGGTGGAAGCTTGTTGAAAATGTGAGGCTGTGTGACTATGATGCAAATGGCCGCTGATTCCAGCAGTGTACTAGAGTGTACAAGTCCTTAACCGTCTGTCCAGCGGGAAAATAAGGGAATAGGGTTAGCTAGCGTGAAGACTGTAATTGATGCCAACATTACCTAAAAATACTCAAAGTATGAATTTATCAGAGTTGATGTGAGCTAGTTTCTTATGCCTCTGATGGTAATTTGAGATGCATTTTTGCCTGGCTAGTATGGAACCACCCCCTTGGTTTGGGCTGCGCGGAAGGGCCATTTAGAGTGTGTGAAGCATCTGCTGGCCATGGGAGCCGATGTGGACCAAGAAGGAGCTGTAAGTACCTGTGGTTTCCACAGCTGGGGGTGTTGAACCTGTGGCACATGCCTTAGCGTGCCCTTGTCACTAAACGTTCTAGAAGGTTCGCCATCACTGCCCTGAGCCTTGGTGGTAGAGGATGTCTTTGGTTTTAAGAGACAATATTTTAAGTATTGGAACATGCCTAGGAAAATTTCTGTCCAGTTTTTATATGATATCAAGTTAGAAAAACAATTACTTTCTCTTACTCGTAGGGTGTCATATTGTGAAAAACAATAAATGTGTACTTTGAAAGATCTAGTACTAATAAAGCTAAATTTTAGGAGGCTAAAAATATAGACTGTTTTAATTAACCCTGATATAAGTTATTTGGAAAGCTTTTCATGTCAAATAGTTTTAAATCTCAATTGTGGAGAAAAATTTTCTTTCTTGGTACGGGGAATTGAGCTCAGGACTTTCTGCTTATGAGGCAGGTGGCGGCACCACTGAGCCACATTCTGGCCCTGGAAAAAAGTTGTTATACTCTATTAAAATACTTCTCTTTTTAAACAGTTAATGTTGTGGGCTGGGGATTTAGCTCATTGGTTCTGCTGTCTGCCTCACAAGCAGAAGGACCTGAGTTTGATCCCCAGTAAAAAACAAAACAAGTTAATGTAATTTTTAAATGTTTTTGTATCACATTTTATGTCTCATTTTCCCTCTTTAACAAACAGATTTTAAAATATCAGAAATTGTTAAAACAGAGAAATCTTAAAAATTGGCTGAATACGTCTTGCTGACTAGCAGTTCCCTGGTTCCATCCTGAGTGCCAGTAGTGTGCCCAGCCTGCCCAAGACAGCTGGGGACATAGGCCTGGCAGGGCAGGTTGTTTTTGAGTGCATATGAATACTCAGGAACTGCTGGGCACCGTGGTATCTGCCTCTAACAGAGGGACTTGGGAGGCTGAGGCAGGAGGATAGTAAGTTCAAAGCCAACCTGGGCACCTTAAGGAGATGCTGCCTTAAAATGACAATGGTAGGGGGTGTAGCTCAGTGCAAAGGACCTACATTCAATCCCTAGTACCACCAAAAATTTTAAAAATACAGGATCTGCCAGTCAGGGTGGCAATATATTATCATTTTGGTTTTTGAAGGCCTGGTCTCACTGTATTAGCTCACCCTGGCCTTGAACTCATTGTGTAGCCCAGGTTGGCCTCAAACTCAAGGCAGTCCTCCTGCCTCAGCCTCCCAAGGCTAGGTTTTCAGGTTTGAACCAGCAAGTCTGGCTGGATTGTTTAATTTAGGGTGTGTTTAATTCTGAGTCTTTGTGAGATCTGTTCACTTAGCAAGTCCAGCTTCAGACTGCCATTTAAAGACCTAAAGTTTCTAATAATCCTGATGATTCAAGAGAATCAGTGTGTCTTCAAAAATTGCAAATAACACCTCCTGGCCATGTCTGGTACGTGTCTGACTGTCATTCTACTGTCAGAAGTAACTTAAATACAAACCTCCTATTGGAAAGCATCCATTTTCTGCCTGTGGCATAAGTTGTGTTTTCTAGACTACTGATTTCTTGGGCTTTATTTTCCTTTCAGAATTCAATGACTGCACTCATCGTGGCAGTGAAGGGAGGCTACACACAGTCAGTCAAGGAGATTCTCAAGAGGAATCCAAACGTGAACTTAACTGACAAGGATGGAAACACGGCCCTGATGATCGCCTCGAAGGAGGGCCACACAGAGATTGTACAGGACCTGCTGGACGCGGGGACGTACGTGAACATCCCCGACCGGGTAGGTGGCTGGCGTCAAGTGCGGCTTCATAGGGGCGTTGCTGCCTCTGGAACTGCTTGCTTGGGCCGCGCAGTCTTTGGCAGAGCGACCTCCTGTGTTTTGCTGTGCCTTTGTCGTCACTGTGCCATGAGTCTGCCTGTCTGCGGTGTGACTCCTGCCCACGTTGCTCATGGTTTGGATCCTTGAGACGTTTAGGGCCCTGTGTCTTGCCCAGCATTCTCTCTGAGCTCTCGCTTAGGTGTTCTCCTCTGCCTGTGGTCCCCACCCAAAGGCCTGTGTGTCGGCAAAGCAAGACTGATGTCCTCCTGCTTCCGCGTGGACTGGGGAGCACCAAGCCCCGTCTGCAGCCCTTGCACCAGGCTGTATTTTGAGGCAGCACTCACTGTTTTGCTCTCTGCTCTGTGTTCTGCTCTGTGCTCCAGTCTCTCCCCGCACTGTACCACACCGCACCACACCACAGGCGCACCTTCGCCCCCTTTGCCTTCCCAGAGCGCTGATCTTGCCTACAGGGCCCTCAGTGCTCTGCCTTGGCAGTGGCTCCTCACTGTCACTGCTCCTCAGCTCCTGTTGGCCTTTTCCCAGTGGCCTTCAGTGGCTGGTCGCTTTCTGTCACGTCATCCTGTTCTTTAAGCACAGCATTTGTTTGATTTGAGTTTATTGTATGTTGTTCTCTGTCACACTGTACCCAGAGCGAGGACCCCACCTGTTTCATTTCCCAGTGCCTGGACATTGTGTGTGGTGAAAACTCTGTACCTACCCACTCTTGCCCGTGCTGACACTCTCGGCTGTAGTTGCTCTGCCTGCTTTGTTTCTGCTGTGAGTGTGCCAGTCAGGTGCTGAGCTCCATAACCCCTGGGGACTGGCATCCTGGCCCTCGGTGGAGTGGGGCCCATGCAGAACTGAACTGCACCATGGCTGTGGGCTCACGTGTGACTTGGCAGCGAATTACAGGATATCTGTGCCCACTGGCAGGTAACACGTGAGGTAACAGAAGAGGGTGAGGAGTGAGCGCTGCTGGGTGATCACCCAGGGCAGGGAGCCATCTGTGTTTCGGGGAGCATCATGGGGCTTTGCCAGCTGGAGCCATGGTCTGCACTGGGGGCCGTGCCACCCGGGCTGGATGCCTGAGAATGCTGGCCTGGACCAGGCTTCTGAGTTACAGCCCGAGAGCCACGGTGTGGATGAAACTTGGCTGCTATAGCCTGGGGCCTTCGTCCTTGTCCATGTGGCTCTGTGTCATCTCCTGGGGCTCACTGGTTGGGTTGACAGCCACAGTCACTGGTTTAATTCACATTTGAACAGGGGATTGCCTTAGGAGCTGGTGGGTTCTTGGTCCTGGGCACTTCCTCTTTCTGAATTTTCTCTTAGAACTTTTCAGGACTCCTCATTTTGAGGCATTATGTCCTCGTCCCTTACTCTGAGGACTGTTAATGTCTTAAAAATAATAATCTATTATTACTAGTTAATTTAAACATTTCTCTTATTTGGAGACAGAGACCATTTTTCCGAAATAGTCAGAATGCATCTGCTATGAATACACAAGTAGCCTGACCTGGGAAACAGTGCTCGCCTGCTCTCAGCACCACCTGACCTTGGCTTTTGTCTTTACAGAGTGGCGACACTGTGTTGATTGGCGCCGTCAGAGGTGGTCACGTTGAAATTGTGCGTGCACTTCTCCAGAAGTACGCCGATATCGACATCAGAGGCCAGGTATGAGGGCGTGGTGTGTGCTGATAGTCCCCAGCTTCCCTGTGGGCAGGAGTCCGGACCCTACAGTGCGAATGGATACAGTAACATGGTTACTACTTTTCACTGCGCCCTCGTATGAAGTCCCTGTCGAATTCAATTCGAACGAAAGTAAACCAAGCAGTGGGTGCTTTTATTAGAATATTCTTCCTTGGCTAGCGCATTCTGTCTTGTGCTGAGTGGTCATGCTGCTGAGACTGGGTGGCATTTGAAGATACGGAGTGTTTTTCCTGTTGGTATTCTTCCTCCACATGTGGTTCTTTTATTCCTGTTTGCTCTCCTCTCCTCTCCTCATCCTGCCATCCTCTCCTGGAGCTGCTTGGGTAGTACCTGTGGGCCTTGCTTCAGGCAGCTCACACAGCTGCAAGGGTTTAACCGCAGCTGGGGTTGAGGCATATGCACTTCAGTCCGAGGCAGGTAGAAAGTCTGGACAAGATAAAAGCAAATGTTGTGAATTTATTTAATACTTAAAGAGGTTTAGATTAAAAAATTTGTTCTTGGAAGTTCATTTTGGTCAGTCTACCTTATGCTTTTTTTTCCCCTTATAGTTACAAACCTGTTGTATTGAAGGTCATTTTTTAATCAAATTAATAAAAGTTATGCCTAATGCTATGGGAGAATTAACATGGGACCCTTCTCTTTAAGAAACATGTATTTTATTTTATTTTATCATTTTTTGGTACCAGGGATCAAACTCAGGTACTTGCTCTTGCGAGGCAGGCAGTGGCACCATTAAGCCAAATCCCCGGACCTAGAAAACATGTATATTAATTTGGGTGGTTTTAGTTATATTTATTTTTATGCTTTTATGTAGACATAAAAAGCGAAGCCACAGAATGATACACATTTGGTGAGTGGCCTGCTGAAAGGTTTCCCTGTGTTAGTCTGGAGGTGGGAAACAGCATTAAAGAGGAGGCCTTCCAAAGAAGGGAGAGTCAGAGCCCAGTGTGAAGACAGGTGGAGGGACGGGAGGCCGGGCATTTCTGGTGTGGCATTGTAACAGTAGGGGAGTGTGGGAGCAGAGGGAGGAGGAGGACAGAGGGAAGTGGAGTCCACGCCAGAGAGCCGGGTGGTGTCCACCCTCAGAGTGGGAACCCACTCAGGGTAGTTGTGGTCCAAGAAATGCAATGTGGCTGCAGCAGGAAGTCATTACCTTTTGGGCTAAAGCCATAGTTTGGCTAAAGATGGCTTCTAGATCACCTGCTGTAGACTTTCATCTAGCTACTTTGTGTGTGTGTCACTCCTCTTTTCCTACTTCCGTTGGTTTTGCTTTGCTGTGCTCTAGCTCTGCTTCCCAGGTCTGTGTGGTCGACGTGGTTTTACAAAGAGATAGTAAATTGTGGGATCTGTCTGCCTTGGCCAGTGTGGGCATGGGTAATAGAGTAAGAAAGCTGAAAACAATGATGCCCAACCTCGTGTCTTGATGCGTCTCTCACGCATCATCTGTAGATGCAGCTGGGCAGGTGCCTTTTTCCACATTGCAGAGAGAATTGCACAGGACCAAGGCCCAGAGCTTGTTCCTGAAATCCGACTCCTTACAGAATTGTGGTTTACTTTGCTGCCCCTGTGGGCTTGCACCTTGAAGTCAAGTTACGTTAAGTCTTCCTTGGCTTCTTTCAAAAGAAATTTCTCAAAAATAAGTTCCAAGTAGCATAAAGATTCACATTATTTCCCACTGTGCTGCCTGTAGGAATGGTTTTGGGCAGAAATATTAATGATGTCTTACGTTGACAACAACAGTTTTTGACCTTGTGTCCTACATGAAACCATGGCAGATTGTTTCTTTTTTTCTTTTTTTCAACATACAGGACAATAAAACTGCTTTGTATTGGGCTGTGGAAAAGGGAAATGCGACCATGGTGAGAGACATCTTACAGTGCAACCCCGACACCGAGATCTGCACCAAGGTATGAGTGACACTTCTGTGCCTTCGCAGTCAGGGCCCAGGCTGAGCAGTTGCACTGCTTGCTGCCATTCGTCCCCTGTTGGGTTCTAGAGTCCTGAATTTACTGTAATGCTCTCTATTAGATTGAGGAATGACTTTTTGTCCTTTCAGGGGCTGCATATTTGTAGCAAAAGACAGAGTAAAATTTGTTAAGTACTTTTCAGAAGGCACACTATCAGCTATTCATACATTGTGGAAATGTTGTGGAAGGAATCGGTAAGTGACGCACACAGAGATGCAGAAGGGCAGTGAAATTATAAAGGTTTATTTTACCAGCAAAAGGCTGATTGTACTTAGAGCAATGACAGACCCCGTACTGGGTTACAGCTTCTTCTCTTACAGGGTTTTACAGCCATGATTTCATTCAGGTGGTTACATTTCATCTCCTCGGTGGACATTACCAATGTGTAAATCACGGTCACAAGACAGTTAACTTTTAACCCTGACGTAGCAATTCTTTATAGTCAGGGAGTTTACCCTTAGGATTCATCTAGCTTCCCACAGGAAGGGGGCTATTGAGGATCAGGAAAGCAAAGTTAGCGATTGTTTTTCCATCTTGACACTTTTACAATCATGTAGGTTACAAAACCTCAGAGCTCGGGGTCTTGATGTGTCCTGTTATCTCAGGGTGAGGACTAATGTCCCATTCTATGGTTAATGCCTCTGGTGTCTGTCAGTTTTGAACTACACAAACCAGAATGCTGTTAGAGACAGCAGAAGTCATTCTACATTTCCCTAACATTTTGTAGGTTTTTAAATTATTTACAACAGTTCTATCAGAAAGGCTGGGTGTGGGTTCACACCTGTAACCGTACCAGCTTCAGAGGCTAGAGCAGGGGCATTGCAAGTTCGAAGCCAGCCTAGGCAGTTTAGAGAGACCCTGCCTCAAAATTTAAAAAGACACAAATACCTTTTCTTTAAAAAAAGGGGGGGGGAGCTGGGGAGGGAGCTCAGCACTCCCTGGGTTCAACCCTTAGTATTTAAAATAAAATCATGGGCAGTCCTTTCCCCCAGATTCTTCTGTGCTCCCGTTTGGTGTGCAGAGTGTGTTTTCTTTTAAAAAGACCTTTGCAAATGGCTGTTGGTTCCACATACTGGCCAGTGTAGCCTGTTCTCAAATCACGTTAGGCATACAGAACCATGGAAGACCTGGGGGATTGTATTTGAGCCTTATATGTAGCACTTTCCCTTGGAAATGTATTTGGACTGAAATGGCAGGAATTCTTAAAGCAAAGTATGGAGTCATCCCTGAGATCATCCTGCTTCCCTTTTTGTTTTTTTCATTTTGTATTAGTATGTCTTTGCACCACATAATGATTGAATTCCTGGCGGGGGATTGGTGCACATACCTGATACAGTCAATCTTGTGTCCCCCACCCCCAAAGGTTGTCGCCCCAGTACCCCAGGGCAGAAGACTCCTGGGATACCTGATGATTTCCAGGTGGCTCCTTGACCCTCTTGTTTTTCTTTTGGACCCACATAGCGTCTGACCAGGTTTTTGTCCTCCCTGACTCATGAATGTCGGACTGTGGCCTCTTGTTTCACCTCCCTGATTTGAAGGCAGCCATGTATAGAGCGGCTCCTGTGCTGCTCATAGGTGTCCCTGAAGGACACGGGCGCCGGCTGGGCTCTGTGTGGGGCAGGGGGTGTGGGGGGATCCTGTGCCCCACTGGGACCAGCGTCACCCCAGGCAGTCAGGTCTCTCAACTCTCTCCTTGAGAACATTTTCAATAGAGATGGTTCCCAGACTGGGGTATTTATCATGCCTTCTTTTGTGTGGTGCAGGATGGTGAAACCCCACTGATAAAGGCCACCAAGATGAGGAATATCGAAGTCGTTGAGCTGCTGCTGGATAAAGGGGCCAAGGTGTCTGCCGTGGATAAGGTAACAAGGCTGCTGCTGGCCAGCCCAAGCCATGGTTCTGGGCTCTGAGCTGGTCATGTGCAAGAAGCAATCCCTGCTGGGTGCGCGGGGGCAAAGCTGGCCCTGCAGTGTGTCACGGAGGGGTGGCTCCACTGCTTTGAGTCCCTGTGGGGCTCCCATGAGGAGCACCCCTCAGGTGCTGCCGATGCCCAGGAGCTAATTCAGAGGGGCCGGGCGGCTGCCCTCAGAGTGGACTGGCAGTAACACTCATGGTCAGGGCCTTGCCGAGACTGGTGAGAGAGCTTTCTCACTTTCCTGATACAACTGGCCTCAGGTCGCCTGCTGCTGGTACAGACTCGATTCCTGGTTTTAGTTTGTTCTCATTCTAAAAGAATTTAGATCTCGCTCTGCTTCAAATTCATTATGGCCCAGCAAAGACTGGTGTAGGGGGTAAGAAATACCTTTAAGTTTCCCCAAGCATGTCTGACCTGAGCTTTCCTGGTTTATAAAGATTAGTATCTGTCCTTTGTTCTTCATGGGGCTACAAAACCAAGATTACAGGATCAGTGTGTTAGCTTTTTGTCTTACCAAGTAATGCCATTTTAAGAAAGAAACAGCAAAACAAAGAAACAAGCAAACCCAGTAATTTTATTTCTGATATTTTCGTGTGAAAGAAAGGAAATTTTTAGTGTTAAAAATTAGGAAGTCAGAGAACTTTGTAAGAATAAATTTATTAGTGAAGGCGGTGGTTTCTCCTGGCCGGGCACTGCTTCCCTGCAGCGCTCGGTTGGTGTCCTCAGGTCCTTTTGGAGATTCTGCATCTGGCAAAAGTGCCGCCACTGCCATTTTCACTCTTGCATGTTTGGGGTGAGAAGGGTGTGGAGTGGGAAATAGAGACATTGAACTCCAAAATCCAGTGTGGTGGTTTAGTTGGGCGGGCACTGATGTCCAGGAGGCTGTGACCCGGCACTGGAGGTGTGGGACAAGCGTGGGCAGGGAGTCCCGGCTGGGGGCGGGGCGGAGGCCATCAGCGGGAGGCCAGTTGGAAGCTGAGGCTGGTGTCTGCTCTCTGCAGTTTGCGGCACTGTGCTTGCTGTCAGGTGTCCCTCCTACCCTGTCAGCTGTTACGGGCAGGACTTCATCTTCCAGCTTTGTGTCCCCACAGTTCTCGGCACAGAGTGCCTCCCATAGTGAGCGGAACACAGGACTGGGGAGGGGTCTCGAGAGGACAGGAGCCTGGGAGTGCGGAGCCCCACAGGTCATTTTCGGGTGCGTCTAGGGTGGCGTCACGCCAAGGCAGGTGAGGCCTGGGAGTTTAACTCCTTAGGCTGGGGTCGCTGGTCAGCTCCCAGAGTAGTAGGTGGAACGCCTACGGACAAAAGGCTCTATCTCCATTGTTAGTTTTTCTTGGTGCTGGATGTGGTCACTGATGTAACTAGAGAGCCTCGGGGCAGACAGTGGACTGACCTGGGTAAGTGACAGTCCACCAGTTCTGGGGGCTGAGTGACATGGGTGAGGACAGCTGTGAGTAGAGAAGGGCGGGGTGAGTACCAAAGGCTTTGGTCCTGGCCTGGGGGTGCAGAGAAAGCCTGTCGCTCCTTTCTGTGAGCTAGGGCATGAGCCACCTACGGAGCTGGGTTCTGAGAAAAGCTGGTGAAGAACTAGAGAAACAAAATGGGGGAAGACATAAAAATTCCAAGGCCTGGGGATTTAGCTCAGTGGTTTCACCCCCTGCCTTGCAATCGCAAGGTCCAGAGTTCAATCCCAGGTACCCCCCACAAAAATCCTGTTGTGTTATATGCACATGAGAAATGTGAAAAGCCCAGATTTCTGTTATCTGAGACCCATGCAAGTTGCTGCTCTGCCCGCTTCCTACTGTTATTTTACAGAAAGGAGACACTCCTTTGCACATTGCTATTCGTGGGAGGAGCCGGAAATTGGCAGAACTTCTTCTGAGGAATCCCAAAGATGGGCGGTTGCTTTACAGACCCAACAAAGCTGGCGAGACTCCTTACAACATCGACTGCAGCCACCAGAAGAGCATTTTAACACAGATATTTGGAGCCCGTAGGTGTTGGTTTTGTCCTTTGAGCTGTGGAATATTGAATGTCCAGTTAAAAATGTGAAAAATAGGAGGCTAACTTCACAATTCTCATTCAACTGGAGAATATAAAAGTTATAGTTAGTGCCTTACTGTGGAAAAATAGTCTTCTACATTTTTTTGCATTGTACTGCAGGTACATTGAGTCATCAGTCAGCTTTTAAGACCTCTTAAAAACCCAGCCTGCTTTTCTACAAGACTGCTCCCACCTTGTCCCACATGTTACTTCATGTTGTCCCCTCTGTTATCCGAGGGTGGCAGCCTTGTGCCCGCGCTCCCTGCCTGGTTGGCCACCCTGCTGAGCCCGGGCACACCCTGTACTTCTTATCCTCCCTGCCAGCTCTGCCTGTATCCCGGACACTGCTTGGCTGGTGTGAATGTTTATGTACTCGTGTTCTTGTTTCCCTTTTCATACTTACTGTGTGTGGCTTTGTTCTATTCCTTTGAGAGTTTCCTCCCTTCCACATTTCTTGTTCTTCAGGGCAGAAGCTGTTTCTGCTTCTCTGTGTCTTCGGTAACATTCAGCCTAATGAATATTGCTAAGTAATTTAAAAAAACTGAAAAAAGTACTAAAGTAGTTTTTGACTGAAAAGAATGCACGTGCAAATATGATCATGCATACATGATGTTTTGAAATATGGGGTAATTTTCTACTCGAATTTAAAAAAAAGTTTGTTCCAGAGACCAACAGGAGATACAGAATTCTGTTGGTTCCTTTGGCTTCTTACTCATACCTTGTTCCTAAGCAGGGCTCTATTATTTTATAAGTTTTTGTATTTTAAAATATCTTCTAATTGTAGCATTGTACACTCATTAACTCTCAAGAATGAAGACACAAATTTTAGCAGAAAATGCAAATTCCCCATTGTTTCCTATATCCTAACTTGTAATTATTTGAGTAATGTCCTTCCAGGCTTTTCTGTACATGTATAAAAATGTTTTACAGTATGTAGATAGCTTTAAAAAAGAAAAGTCAGATCATAGCGTGTTATAAAAATGTTTAGTAATGAACCATATCATGTTTAATTGTTACATCCCTTTCATTGTGGATTCTGCTTGAATTCTTTCATCGTGCATCTGCTTGTCTGTTGATGAAATTTGGTTTGTTTTGCTATTAATGGTGTGTATACCCATTGGCTCTGCTTTTTAGGGTTATTTTCTTGAGATAAATTTCCAGAAGTAAAACTGCCAATTCGGTGGATGCCCACAGTTTTGTTCAACTTTCCAGTTGATGTAAAAGTTTTTTCTTCCTCCCTCTAGTGGTATAAGACAGTACACTTTCCTACAGCCTCATGGATGCTGTTTCCAGCCACTTAATCTTTGCTAGATTAATAAGAAAAACTAATATTAATTTGCTTTAAAATTAGTAGATTGAGAGTTTTTAATATTTTCATGACTTTATATTTTTGCCATTTTTTGTGTCATTTGCCTATGCTTTTCTTGAGTTTCTAATATTTTTTAAAATTAGATTTTAATATTTTTTTTGGTACCAAGGATCAAACTTAGGACCTTCCACTTGTGAGGCAGGTGGCAGAATCACTGAGCTAAATCCCCAGTCCCAGATTTTAATTGTTTTTATGTGAAAAGATTTATTTATTTTATTTATTTTAGGTAAATAGATTTTGATCTTAGACACAGCCTAAATGTTGCATATGACTCTTCATGGACATTTAAAATATTTTTCCATCTAAAAGATTTTTTCATACTTTTAAGCTTTAGCTGCATTTACTTCTAGAATTTTTATGGCTTTACTTTTTAGGTGTAGCTTTTTAATGTTTGAGAAGCACTGATTTTTTAAGACTCTGGGTGTATTGCATTTAATTGCATCTTTTACAAGTGGTTTGCTGAGCTCTGCAGATGCCGCTTGCTGGCCCAGCGTTCCTGACTGGCCTGGAGTGTTGCTTACGCCCCTGTGCTGTACCAGTCGTTGTAGTTGCATATCACTTTGATGCTTTCTGCCATGACTGTTAGCCCTCAGTAAGCTTTACATGTTCTCTCTCAGCTATTCTAACATGTTCTTCTTGCTTTTCAATTTAAAGAAAATCTTCATGTATTGTGACTGTAATTGCCTTCCAGTGATAGATCACTTTGGGGAGGATTGGTGTCTTTAGTGCATTGACCCTTTCGGCCAGGGATATTTCTTTTTCTCGGATTATCTGTTGGATTCCTCAGGAACACTGTAACTTTCTTTGTAGGGGTAGATACCATGCTAACTGTCCTCTGTGTACTAGTTTATGTCTCCTGTCACGTTCCAGTGATTCCAAGCTGCCTGGTGTTCATGTCCGTGTCTGGAGCATGTCTTGGCGTGATGGACAAGAGCATGCGTGGCAGTTTGGCAGCATTGTTTCTCATGGTTTTACACAAAGCGGATCCAGCTTATAATAGGGACTTGTCTTAAGTTCCATGAAGTGTGGTGTTTAGGAGCCTCCGGTCCTGCTTTTGTACAGGTCTGAAGATTTTAAGAAGCTTTTGTCCACTAATAAGCGAGGAAGAGAACTGGGGTCCTTTGTAACAGCAGGGCCACTGTGGAAAGTGAGATGTGTGTTTTGATTCCAGGACACCTGTCCCCTACGGAAACGGATGGCGACATGCTTGGCTATGACCTGTACAGCAGCGCGCTGGCTGACATTCTCAGTGAGCCGACCATGCAGCCTCCCATCTGTGTGGGGCTGTATGCGCAGTGGGGCAGTGGGAAGTCCTTCTTGCTCAAGAAGCTAGAAGGTAAGGACGTGTGTATGACACCTGTGTACACCATCTGTGTGCACCAAGGTCTGCCCTGGAGAAAGGGAAGCTGCGACTCTGTGTCAGGTGTGAGTGACGAGGTGTGTGGGATGGATTGGTGGGCTTTCCTCCCCTCTCCTCAGTCCTCTCTGTGGCCATTTAGTTTTATTTCCACAACAGAACTGGCTGTGTAAGACAGCTGGGAAAGCCTTGGCTGCATGTCTGGGTTTCTTTTCTCATTGCTGAGACAAAATACCCAACACCCAGAGATAGAGAAGTTTATTTAGCTCACGGTTGGTAAGGTTTCAGCCCTTAGTCGGCTGGCTTCAAGGTGGGGTGGTGTGGCAGGGAGAAGGCAGAGGGCAGAAGACAGCAAGCAGCAACTGAGCAAGTGGCCACACTGGCTCTCTTCCTGTCCCTTGTGTTTTATCCAGGACACCCTTAGCGTGGGTACCATTCACACCCAGGGCGGGCACCCTTAATCCTACCCAGAGCTGTGCCAAACCAGTCACACCCTTCATCCCAGCACCATCCACTCCAGATCTAGCCGCCTCTGCAGAGCCCTACTGTGACTACACAAGGCTTTGGTGGGGGGGCGTCTCCTGGGCCCCCACACTTGGGGGGCTGCACAGCCGCACCTGCCCTGCCCCTGGAGCATGCTATGCTGACTCAAGACCATGAGCCTTTGTGCCCGGAGAGTGGATGCTGCTCTTGGGTTGCTTCTCTTTCAGTTTCCTATGCGCTCCCCGGCCCTCAGCACACAGGCCTTGTGCTTGGCAAAGCCATGCTCATTCTTCATGGACAGATTTCAGTATTGTGAGCAGAAATTACCTCAGGTTTCGTAGGAAGAATGACTTATGTCAGGCTTATTTTGGCTTACTAGATCTTTGAGAACTGTGATTCTTTCTGTGTGTGTTTCGTACCCAGGGCGGCCTTCACACTGACCTGCAGCGTCATCCCTTTTTTTATTTTTTATTTTGCTACAGGGCCTTGCTAAGTTGTCCAGGCAGGTTTGAACTTGCAACCTTCCTGCCTCAGCCTCCCAGGGTATATAATTACAGGTGTGCACCACCATGCCCAGCTGAGAACCCTGGTTCTGGGACACAATGTAGGGAAAGTCTGCCATCTGACTGGTGAGATCACAGAGGCTTAAGGAAGATACGTGGTTCGAAGACATAGGATATTGTTTTGGTTTTTACTTATGGGAGCAATACATTGTCACTTACGCGACCACAGAAAGGTGAGATCAGCATTCTGGCCCATGGCATTTTGCAGCCTGGAGTGGCCAGACAGCGGCAGGATGTGTAGAGGGTTGTGTGGCAGTATTCTCTCTCAGCATTTAGCCAGTGCCCAGTAGAAGTTCACATTGGAGATGTGAAGACTGCACGTCCATTGAAAGGCTGTGTCTCTCAAATGGAAAAAGGTGAGTTTCTGCCTGCATCTCTTGCAGATGAGATGAAGACGTTCGCGGGGCAGCAGATCGAGCCCCTGTTCCAGTTCTCCTGGCTGATCGTGTTCCTGACACTGTTGCTCTGTGGCCTGGTCGGCTTGCTATTCACTTTCACTCTGGACCTGAGCCTGGGCGTGGCGGTGTCCCTGAGCTGCCTGGCTCTCTTGTACATATTCCTAGGTGAGCCCTCCTCGGTGGCTTTTTCAGAAGTAGGGAAAATACCCACTCATTTTGGTTATGACATTGTTCTTTAACACCCATATGTGGCTTTCATAATTGATAGAGAGAGAACTACTCTTCTTGCTGTTCTGTGAATTGGCCTGGAGGAACATTTTCCTTTGTCTGGCTGGAATATCTTTCAAAGTTAGTTTCCTATTGTTAGTATTAAAGCAAGAATATTAATGGCATATTTAAGTCTTTTTTGAAGCCATCCCTGGCATGCTCTGGAGTATTCTGAGATGCCTATGATTTTTATTTTGTTTAAAAGTGAAGAAAATAAAATACAGCCTCTCTTCTTGGGAATTATTATTATTATTATTATTATTATTATTATTATTATTATTATTATTATTATTATTTTTGGATAGAGTCTCACTGTAGTTTAGGCTGGCCCTGAACTCACTGTGTAGCCCAGGGTGGCCTCAAACTCACAGCAATCCTCCTGCCTCAGCCTCCCGAGTGGCTGGGAATATCTTCTGTTGCAAGAAAGGAAGTGCATTTCCTCTTAGAGCTAGTAACTTCAGCAATTGTAGACAGTTGCATTTGAGTGTGAATATTGTTACATCTCTGTCAGGGCTTCATCTTTCTGACTGTGATTTTGCATTGTATTTTGTCAGTTCACATTCCATTTTTCACATACCTTCTGTAAGTTGTGGGCTTAGTTTAAGAGTTTTTCAAGGAGCAGTTAGGAAATAGAGTGGGACCCTAAAAAGTTATGTACTCTTAGCTGTTACTACTTAATGCTTGACTCTTTGGGGTAAAGAAACTGCAATGCGTGACTGATGATTATTTTTTAAAATTGTGCATTTCAGTTGTCATTTACTTTGGCGGGAGACGGGAAGGAGAGAGTTGGAATTGGGCCTGGGTCCTCAGTACCAGGCTGGCAAGACACATTGGCTACCTGGAGCTCCTGTTCAAGCTGATGTTTGTGAACCCCCCCGAATTGCCAGAGCAGACCACCAAAGCTTTGCCTGTGAGGTGAGGTGGCCTACTTGATGGGAACAACCTTTAGTAACGTTAAGCAAACACATCTTTCACTTAAGAAATGCCGTAATGCATGGTGTTGTTGGGAACACCGGTGCCTTAAGCCTTCTATAGGAAAGAATAGAAGCACGTCTGGTCAGCCACATTTGGGAGACTTGTTGTGTATCTTCCCCTGGCACATTCAGTCTCTCTTCTGTAAAGAAACCTTTGTGACACGGATTTCCAGTCTCCCCTGTCATCTGACGTCACCTGGGAACGCTGACCTGGCATCAGGTCGAAGGTGGTGACCGGCACCGAGAGCCTGGCTCTGAGACCCCCTAGCCGCTTAGATTAGAGAGTGGCTGGGAGCCACTCGGGGCTGCGTGTCCTCCCCCATGGTGCATTTACGCAGCCCTCTAGACTGGATTGGCATCAGATGGGAAACCGCGGGAGCCAGAGAGCAAAGGAAAGGTATAGGACTGCATAGGACAGTAAAACGAAAACAAGTTAGAAAATTGAAAGCAAAACAAGTTCAGTAGGCATTCATAAAAGAATTAAAATGTATGGAAAGATTAAGTACTTTAAAATTATAATAAGGTAAAATATGTATCATTTGAGATGAAAATAAATAGGTCAAACCAGAGGCAGCACTGAAACTATGAATGTAAGAGAGAAGAATGGAGACGAAACCTTGCAGTGCAGGCCCGGCCTTTATTCTGCTTTTGGGGGTCAGGCAGCCACAGATCAGCTGAAGGGTGTACAGAGTTTCTTGTCACTTTCCCTGCGCGGTACATTGTGGCAGCTTTCCCTGCGGTGTTTCCTTTGTGGTAGGGATTACAAGCAACAGAGAGGTGATTTCATCTGGAGGGGCGCAGGGTCTGTGCGGAGTTCGGGTGGAACCAGGCTGGCCCCCAGAGGGCACCCCGGTCACCGAGGGGTCGCCAGTGAGCCTGTGGTGTGGGTTAAGCGCCCAGGCAGCAATTTAGAATCCAGACATTTAACGGAAAAAAAGGATAGCTTACGAGTAGAACAAAATCAGGAGAGATACCTTCATAGAAAATAAGAAAAGCACTTAATTAATGTGATAGTCTGAAATAGCATCCCCCAAGACCGCACAGTTTAGCAGATGGAGAGTTTCATGTAGGGCTGGAAGGAGGAAAGGAACCAGTGCAGAAGTAATGACCCAGAGACTTGAGATACAAAGAATTACTTAGAAGAACGACTATGAAAATAATTTTTCACAGCTGTTTCTGCATCCTTGCTGGATGGGGAAGCTATAGAATCAGATATTTGAAATTTGAGTTTTTATTTTATTTTATTTTTAATTTTTTGGTATCAGTGATCTAACCTGGCACCTGGTGCTTGTGAAGCAGGCAGCGGCACCACTGAGCTAATACCCCCGCCCTTGAAATTGGAGTTTTGAAATAGCACTACCGGGCTTGAAACTTATAACGACTGAAATTAGAAGAATTACATTTCTGTGCGTCCGAAGTCCTCAGCTTGGGTTGGGACACTGCGTCTTTTGCCCTCGTCCTGACACAGGGCGCCACCTTCTAATCCTAGTGCCGTGGCTGCCGAGATGTCCGGCGTCCCTGTGGTTGGTCTCCCCAGCACTGTGTGGCACGTTGGCTTCTTACCCTCGCCAAGGTGTCAGGGTGGTGGGAGTAGACGGTGCCTGACGGTGAGCCTTTCCCTCCTCCGAGTTTTAAAGGTGTGTTTGGGAGGAGCTTTGGGAAGATGCTCCTGACCGGAGATGACATGAGTCGCAGTTGTCACTGGGTGGCTGAGCTGTGTTTCATGTCCCCACAGGTTTTTATTTACAGATTACAACAGACTGTCCAGTGTCGGTGGAGAAACTTCACTGGCTGAGATGATCGCAACCCTCTCGGATGCCTGTGAGAGAGAGTTTGGCTTCTTGGCAACCAGGCTTTTTCGTGTTTTCAAGACAGAAGAGAGCCAGGGTGGGTTTTCCTTCCTCCTCTGTGTGGGGCCGGCAGTGGGAGGACGGTTCCGCTTCTCTGGAAACTCCACGTGTGCATCAGTTAGCAGGTGCCGCGTCGGCAGGACTTGTTCTAACCGTGCGCTGTGTCACAGGTAAGAAGAAGTGGAAGAAGACGTGCTGCCTGCCGTCTTTCGTCATCTTCCTTTTTCTCCTTGGCTGCATCATTGCTGGAATCACTCTTCTGGCCGTCTTCAGAGTGGACCCGAGACACCTGACAGTGAATGCCGTGCTTGTGTCCATCGCATCCGTTGTGGGGCTGGCCCTTGTGCTCAACTGTCGCACCTGGTGGCAAGTGCTGGACTCTCTCCTGAACTCCCAGAGAAAGCGCCTCCACCACGCTGCCTCCACGCTGCACAAACTGAAGAGCGAAGGCTTCATGAAAGTAAGTGCTCGCGGCAATGAGACCAAACGCATGAGCATGAGCGGCCACTGCTCCGCTTCCTGGGGCTGTGGGGCTGTGGTCTCCAGTATGGTGTGGCCTTTATTTCATTTATTTAAGAACTGTTTTTTTGTTTGTGTGTTTTTTGAGGTGGGGGTCTCCCTTTGTAGTTCAGGATGGTCCTGTACTCACTGTGTAGCCCAGGCTGGCCTTGAACTCCTGGCAATCCTCCTGCCTTAGCCTGAGTGTTGGGATTATGGGCATGTGCCACCACTCCTGGCTTCAAGAACAGTTTTTAAAAGCAGTTTAAGTTTACAGCTAAATTCAGAGGGAAGTACAGAGCTATCCTTCTGCCTTAGCCTCCCAGAGTGCTGGGATTTTAGATTTGTGACACCATATTCACCAGGTTCTTCTTTTTTTATCTACTCTGACATTTCTGTGCCTTTAATTAGTGCATTTAAACTATTGATGTCAAAGAGGTTATTGACCCAGATGGGATTAGAGTCTACCATTTCTGGTATTGCTTTCTATTTGCTGCCCTTGTTCTTTGTTGCTATATTTTGTCTTCTGCTCTTCTCTAAATTTTAGTTTTAGCCCTGAAGTTTACAGTTACACATTTACAACTGACCCCAGCCTACTTTCAGTAATACTATCTATCTATTTATCTATCTATCTATCTATCTATCTATCTATCTATCTATCTATCTATCTATCCGTGTCCTGACACCCACAATTTAAAGGAGGAAAGGTGTAATTTGGCTTGTGGTTCAGAGGATTCACTTCATTCTTGCCTGCTCCAAGACAGTAATATTGCAGAAGGGTGTTGGGGAGCAAAACTGCTAACTCACCTCATAGTGTCCAAGAAGCAGAGAGGCGAGCAGTGCCAGGGAGGATGGGTGAGGAACAGGCATAGACCCCAAGGTCATGCCTCCCCAGATACACTCAGAAGTGTGCCCCACCAGTCCCCTGGGTGAAGCCTGAATCCCATCTGGGTGATGATCTCCCTCCCCGCGCAATAACATGTATTCTTAAGCGTAGTAATCAGGGGTGACGGCTTGCAAGATGTGAAGTCACACACTGAACCAGAAGTTGTTGCCCTTACTGTTCTATTCTTTTTTTTTTTCTCTTATTGTGTTTATTGGTACATTTTAGGTATACAGTACAGTTACATTCATTATTGGGATCTTGTACCTTTACATGACAGGACTTGGTTCTCATTTTTTCCTCTTGTCCCTACCCTCCCTTCATCCCTCCTCTCCTCCCCATTTACAAATACTTTATTTCCATTTTTTCATTTTCTGTTAGTTCTAGTCTATATTTCTAGTGGAAGTATGTATTTAGAGTGAAAAAAGTTAGCCAGGGATTTGGCTCAGTGGTTCTGTCACCTGCCCCTAGAGTGAAAAAAGTTATCCTAACAGCCTAATTTTATAAAATAGGCTTTTATAAAGTTTTCAAAGGAGTTAAGATATTGTTTTATAGGTGATCATTACTAACTAATCATATGCGTTCTTGTAGAGCCTAGTATAAAGTAAGCACATTTGTTTTTAAAAAAGCAAATTGAACCCCCAAATCCTGTGCAGTAGCTGTGGCTCCTTTGATCTCGGTCAAAGACGGGGAGAGCAGTAGCTCACATCCGCGGGTCTTTGGGAACTGCATCCAGTCCAGGTCTTGTGGCACAGTGAGCTGTGGGGCCGTGTCCCTGACCCTTGGGTGCTCTAGGTGTGAACCTGGAGCTAGAGGAACTGTGATGGGCACAGGGCTGTGGGTATCTGTGTTGGTTGCTTTTCTCTTGTTGCTGAGATAAAATACTGTACACCCTGAGTCAGAGGGGAAGGGGTTTTTATCCCATTCAGGCCACCGAGGTTAGGGCAGTGCTGATCCAGCTACACCTGCTGGTTCACTGTCACACACCCTAACCTGAGCATCACAGTGGGATTCAGCTGCCTCTGCGAGTCCCACCTCATCGCTCACGGCTTTGGGGTCCGCCAGACACAGACTACAGCACCATCTCTCGGCCTGCTCAAGGCTTCCCGTCCTGCCTTTGCGTACTCAGTGCTGTTGATGTCTCCTTCATGCAGGTGCTGAAGTGGGAAGTGGAGCTGATGGCCCGGATGGCGAAGACCATCGACGGCTTCACGCAGAATCAGACAAGGCTGGTGGTCATCATCGATGGCCTGGACGCCTGCGAGCAGGACAAAGTGCTGCAGATGCTGGACACAGTAGGTCTCTGGCCCCGTGTCACTGGTGGCGAGGCCCACGTGTTCACGGAGTGTCTCTAGTGGAGGAGAGTTGGATTGGTTTTTTGCCAAAGTTCTATTTTGTAAAAACCTTTCTTTATGAGGACACACAGGGGCAATAAGTGCTTCATCAGAAAGGCAGTTAAATGTTATTAGCTAGACAGCAGCGCGAAGAGAGGAAGGGATAAAGCATCTCCGGAGGCCCGAGTGCAGCTGCAGCTTTCCCTGGCTTTCCTGGTGTGTAGTTATGGCGAGACTCTGCAGTGACACAGGGCGCCTTGGCCGGGGCGGGTGCTCTTAGGGCTGGCGCACTGCAGGGTGCCAGGGCGTGGTAGACAGAGGAGGTGTGGCAGTGGGCAGCGCGTGTGACCTCACTGTGCACTGCACCACTCTGAGTAGGATGGTGTTTCCCTACTGGTGAGGGGGGTTCCTTACTGTCAGGGCAATCCCAGATGGAGCTGCCTGTAAAATCAGTTTCCGTACAGAATGAAACCTGATGAAAAATGAAAACTGTCATCAAATGGTAGTCATTGAAGGCCAGCACAGCTTTTGGAAAGGCATTCTTCATTTTGGATAATGTAAATGTGTGTCATGACTACCTTTCTTCTCCCGCAGGTGCGAGTTCTATTCTCCAAAGGCCCGTTCATCGCCATCTTTGCGAGTGACCCTCACATCATCATAAAGGCCATCAACCAGAACCTCAGCAGCGTGCTCCGGGACTCCAACATCAACGGCCATGACTATATGCGCAACATTGTCCACCTGCCCGTTTTCCTCAACAGTCGTGGGCTAAGCAACGCGCGCAAATTTCTGGTGACTTCAGCGACCAACGGGGACATCGCGTGTTCAGACGCCCCAGGTAAGAGCCCGGCTCTGATGCACTCGGGCTGGGAGTGGCTTCGCAGCGCCTCTGTCTTCACCTCAGAGAGCACTGCTGGTGCTCCACGTGTCTCTCAAGTCGCGCACCACAGAGCTCAGTGTGCTTGGTGCGCTCTTAATGCCTTCTCTCAGGGCTGCAGGAAGACGCCGACAGAAGAGTCTCGCAGAACAGCCTGGGGGAACTGACGAAGCTCGGGAGCCGGACAGCCCTCAACAGACGGGTAGGAGGCTCTCTGTTATCCAGATAGGACAAGCGGACACCAGCTCTGTGAGCACTGCTCCCTGCCTGAGGCACGGAGGTGCCCACAAGTGGGCGTCCATCGCCTTTCAGCCTGGTGCATGGGGGCGGGAGCCCCGCAGGAAGTCCCCTTGAGGGGAGTCTTAGAGCTGGGGCCACCTGCGGACAGCTGGCTTGGGCCAACCTGGCACTGGGCTTTAGTTTGTTGCCCACTTCACATTTGAGCTTCCTGCTCTGCCATTTTCGGGTGTGGATGGAAAGTTAATGTGGCACATGATTGCGATGGCACTGAATTTATTGATCACTGCAGAGTTTACTCTGCTGGTCCGAGTCCTAGTCTGTCTTTGATGGCACTAGTCCCTGGAGGCAGGGTTCCTAGCCCTCCCTTCCCCGCCAAATGCCTGCAGTTGTGATGAGGTGAGGGGGTGGTTAGATACTTCACTTACCTACAAATCAAAATGTTGAGTCCTTAAAACTGGACAGAGGCCAGCTTGCCTTTGTACTGTAAGGTTCCTAGAAGTACTGAGCCCTACAGAGGAGGAATGTAACCTATTCACGCACCCCAACTGCAAAGCCGTGAGCACAGTGCAGACCGTCCTGTGCTCAGGCTGACCTCTTGCCTGCCTTGCATGGGCTCTGCCTGGGGCACGGTCACTCGGCTGCTCGTTGGCACGAATCTTCCTCTTGGACCGATGGCGGCTTGGTCGTTGTATTAACTTCTCCCAAAGCACTGGCTCTCAGGCCAGAAGTGCGGCTCACTGTCCTGCCTGCTCTCTCAGGACACCTACCGCAGGAGGCAGATGCAAAGGACCATCACCCGGCAAATGTCCTTCGACCTCACAAAGCTGCTGGTCACCGAGGACTGGTTCAGCGACATCAGCCCTCAGACCATGAGAAGGTTGCTCAACATTGTCTCCGTGACAGGTGACGTCTTTCCTGACTGCGGTGGATAAGGGTTACCATCAGAGCAGTAAACTTCCAGGAACAGGGACGTGTGCATTTAGCTGTGAACACTGCTAAATACCCACTGTGTTGAAAATCAACCATTGGTTGTATATTATTACCGTGAAACTTGGTCACTTTCAGTCTTCTACTTCGTGTCAGGGTTAATTTTTCTCTTTAGTTTTGTGCCAGTTAATAACCCCACTGTGCATGTGTGTGACAGTGCAACCGTTTCACTGTGTGACATGTGACACTTGTGTATTCATCCGGCCATCCAAACGGAGTAGTTGCCTCATGCCCAGGCCTGGTCCTGATGTAAAGATGAAGCAGCAAACAGGGTAATCTTGCCCTGTCGGGTCGGGAAGTGTCCTGTTGTGAGACAGCGAGCGCCAGAGTGAGAAGATGAGTGTGTAGTACTCTCATTTCCCAAGAACTGTGCCCTCAGCACAGCTTGTTCTGTCTTCCCAAGAACTGCTCTGGACTCTGCCTCTGTGCATAGCAGCTGTTGTCCCCCTTTTCAGAAAAACCCCTGGAAAGAAGTGTGGTCCCATGTGTGGGTTCCTCTCCCTTTACCCCTCCAGCCCTCCGCTCACTCTCAGGACTGAGTAGGGACCTTGCCAGCCACTGCTCCTCCTGGGGGAGCCTTGTGCTCAAGTCCTGGGTTTTCCTCCTGCGCTCTGGGGGCGTTTCCCGTGCCCGTCCCTGCACCTTGGAGCTCTGCTTCTCCACCTGGGCCAGTGGTGGTGAACCTATGGCCCTCATGCCACAGTGGGCTGTTTATTATCATTGACCGCTCTCAGAGGTTCTCCGTCCCTGACCACGGCCATCTCCTTTGGTGGCCGTGTAGTCTCTAAGGTTCAGATACTGCCTGTCTGCTGAAAACGCTCAACTGTCTGTCTTCAGACCTGGAGTCCTCGGCTAGCTTGTTAATTTGATTTTTTTTTTGGTGGTGGGGGTACTGGGGATTGAACTTGGGTCCTTGCGCTTATGAGGTAGGCAGCAGAACCACTGAGCTAAATCCCCGGCATCACCTAGCTTGTTAGACAGCTGATGGCATCTGAACTTCATTTGATGTTCATTATGTCTGGAATCTCTGCCTCAAACTGAATCCACCCATAATCTTTCCCATGTGTTTACTCTCTTTTTCCAAGCCCTTCTGCAAAAAAGATGTTAACTGTTTCTTTCATAATCCACCTGCAGTCTTGTTAGCTGGTTCTCTAGCACCCTCTTCGGTCTGCATCTTGAGTTTAGCCACTTCTGGATTCTCGCCATCTCTCCTTCCTGTTCTGTCCTGCCTGTGTCGGTCATTGCAGCGGCCTCTGCTGGTCCTGCCCCTTTCCCACCTGTACTTTGCTCTCCACTGGTAATCCAGTGACCCTTTAGGAGCCAGCTTCTCCGCTCGGAACTGTCAGGTGCCGGTTTTACTGAAGATAGATACCTGTGCCCTCACAGTGTCTCGCAGGCCTTTGAACTGAGCACCATCCTTTGCCCTTAGTTTTCATTTTGAGACAGAGTCTCATTAAGTTGCCCAGGCTGGGCTTGAACTTGCAGGAGTGCTGCGATTGACAGACATGCACCACCATGCCTGGCTTTTCCTTTTGAATCTTTCATTCCCATCTATGTGGAAATGTGTGTTGTCTGTCAGACACTGCAGATGGTTGTCAATATTAGGAAAGTTGCACAGTAGATGAGCTAATATCAGAAATAAATTTAGTAGATAAATATTGACAGGTATTGAGTAGTTTCCTGTCTAAAAGTTGTGTTTTATTTGAAATTTGTTTTGTTGGGCATTTTTTTCTTTTTATAGCCAAACATTTACTGGTGCATTTTAGGCATACATAAGGATAACCTGCATGGTAGGGAATTTGTACCTGTACATGGTACATCCTGCCCTTCTTTTTCTGCTTTCCCTCTACCCCCAAATCCCCTTCCATCCCTATATACAGAAACTTTGTTTCAATTTTTTCCTTCTCTTTTCACTTTTTTTTTGGTCCCTGTCTTCCTTTCTCCCTCCCTCCTCCCTTTTTCCCCTTCCCATTTGAACATTTTCTTCCCATTTCCCAATATTGTTGGGCTTTTTTGAGAATAAAGCTTAAAAATAATCCTAGCTTCATTGGATAACATTTTCTCTTTCTCTTTCTGTTGTTTTGAGACAGTCTCCCTGTCTCCTTAACATTTTCTCTTTCTCTTTCTGGTGTTCTGAGACAGCCTCCCTGTCTCCTTACGCGGTTCAGGCTGGCCTTAAACTCACTCTGTGGCTCAGACTGGCCTCAAAGTCACAGCGCTCCTTCCTCAGTCTCCCGATTGCTGGGATTACAGTCATGTGCCACCATGCCCAGATTGCTTTCTTTTTATAGGCTGGATGTATCCCTATGATGAAACACTGTGTTTTCTTTCTCATACTTTAAAAATTAATTTTCATGTTCTGTAATGATTAGTTGCTTCCGACCCAGCCCTTGCTGTGTCCTTCGTTCTCATCCTTCCTGGCTCCATTCTCCTGCTCCATGGTTTAGTTTTGTTCTGAAGGCCGGTGTGTGGGGACTCATTCCCTCATGCTCTCTGGTTATGGTGTTTGTTTTCCTGTCCTCACATGGCCGTACATGTGTATGTATCTTCCACACAGCCATACCTCTTAGTTCCCGAGTGTCTTTTCTCTCCTCATTTCTCCTGATAGTCTCGAGTTTTTGTCAGGTGAACATTAAGTCTCTTTCTCTTCTTGCAGTAGGTGTCATCCTGAATGAGTGAATTTTTGGTTTTTGTTTGCTCTTTTTTAGTATCGGGGCTTGAACCCAGGGCCTGTGCTATGCGGGACAAGTGCTCTACCATTGAGCTCTCTCCCCAGCCCTGAACAAGTGAGTTTGACAAACTCAATAAAGCAGCTGTTATTAGATTCGGCTCTTCTGAGGGTCATCTCCTCTCCTTACAGGGTGAAGCTTTATACATATGTTGTTACAACTTATATCTCCTGTTCAGCTTTACGGCTTTTTCTCACTAGCTTTTTCCAGTTTGAAAATTGTCGGAGACATGTGTCTCCAGTGCTACAAGCTTATTTTAATGTTCTGCTTCTTGTTGCCTCATCTCTTTGTTCAAATATAAATATTTAAGTTCTCCATTAACCTGTTGATACTCTGTTAGAGTAGTGCTCCTCCTCTCACTAGGACCTGTCATTAGCTTAGTTTGCACTTTCGTGCTTGGCTTCCTGACTCTCCCTGAAGGCTGGACCAGGCTGTTTGGTTATGCATTCTGTTCCCGGTATCAGTGTGGCCCAACTATAGGTTTCCTGGTTCTCAGATGCTTGTGACCGTGGCTCCCTCTGGACGGAATGTAAATTCCCACTTCCTGGGGAAAAAGAATTCAGTGATGGCAGGGTGGTTTGTGTGTAAATAGATTCGTGCAGGGAGTATGAGCCTGCAGGTGCGAGAACTGGATGGCGGGCTGTGTATCAGTAGGAGGGAAAGGGCTCATTCCTATTTGAACTAAAGAAACAGGGATCTGAGCTGAGACACAAACTCACCTGACATTAATGGAGAAAGCAACAATAGCTGGGTGTGGTGCCACACAATTCATTGCTGCTTGGGAGGCTGAGACACGATGGCAAGTTCGAGGCCAGCCTGGGTACCTTAGTGAGATCCCACTGGTTGGTTGGTTGGTGGGTTGAACATTAGATAGATAGATAAATGGATAGATAGGGCATAGCTCAATAGTAGGTGCCCTTGGATTCAGTCCCCAGTACCCAAAGCAGACCACACATGCACCTGTGCACAGATGCACATATAACATCAGCAACTCAGAGCCCTGCCCAAATGACAGATTTCAGAAGCAGTCAGGTGGTGGGTCAGGTGCATAGTCAGCCTGTAGTACACAGAAGTGAAGGTGGGCTCGCAAGTCCACCTGTAACTAAATGAGGATGGGCCAGGGTGTTTGTCCTCTCTGCGGGGCATCAGTGGAATCTTGCAGGTGGCGCTTAGAGGATGGGAGTGCCGTGGTGACTTGATGCCCTGCGCATCTTTGTAGGCGGCACAGACTGCATGATACACAGTGTGAGATTTGTGCCTGCAGGTACGTGGTCAGATCAGTAGCAGATCAGGGTCAAAAGAATCACTATAGGCTTGTATGGAATTACAGTCAAGCCCTTAGAATCTTCGTAGTACAGCTAGCTCTCTGGACTTCAGAAACTGTAAACGCTAGATTTGAATTTGTAGTATAATTTAAGGGAAGATTTAAAAAGTTTAAATTATGGATGTACAGAATGTTTTATTTAACATAGTGTTACACATTTTGCATTCCTTGAAGGGCGGTTACTGAGAGCCAATCAGATTACTTTCAACTGGGACCGGCTGGCGAGCTGGATCAACCTCACTGAGCAGTGGCCCTACCGCACCTCGTGGCTCATCCTGTATCTGGAGGAGACCGAAGGCGTTCCTGACCAGATGACCTTGAAAGCCATCTACGAGAGGTATGTGGACAACTCCTTTGGATAGGCCTCACCTCAGGCCCCACCCGGATACACGTGTGTGTTGGGACTGTGTTCTGTGTAGCGGTCAACGCTGGACAGATGAGCACGTTATTGCTCAGCGAAGACCCGACCTGGGGTGGGGATTTAGCTCTGTGGTGCTGCTGCCTGCCTTGCAGGCGCAAGGTCCTGAGTTTGATCTCCGGTACCAAAAAAACCTAACCTATTCAGCAAGATCATCTTTGCAGTGTTATTGTTGTCATTATGTGTGAATAATATGTCGGAGAGAGGATTGGCCTTCATTGAGGAGTTAGGTAGTGGACTTAAAGTTAGGATGCACTGGATAAAGCAGAGGGACATTTAAGGTCACAGGAGTAATTTGAGGTGGCTTTGCACTCATCGGCCATGGCTCCTGGTTTCCTTCGTGGAAATGGAAGCTCAGTCCCGCACAGGCTGGGCGGGCGCTGTGCCCTGAGCTGCATCCCAGCCCCAATTGTGTTTCCTAAGAAGCCGGGGCGGCTCAGTGTAGAGGCTGCCCTGCTGCACTGGTTTGTGCTTCTCCCCGGAACGTGTTTTAGTGCAGCCTTGTACTTGAAAGTCAGGGCTTCCACAGCTGTCCTTCTGCTGTGTGTTGCAGGGGCTGGCCGTGGAGATGGGGTGGAGAGGGCCAACTGTAAAAGCATGTTACTCCTTTGAAGAACTTAGACATTTTAAAGTTTAAAATGTTTTTCCACTTGTGAAAACTCCCAAACTTTAAAAACTGTTGCCAGAATGAGAAGAGTAAGAAGCGCCCTTCTGCCCACCCCGTGCTCATCCATCCTGTGAGCTGCTCCCCACCCCACTGTCCCGTGACCCGGTCCCCTGCATGCTTGTCCTGCCGCCCCTGTGCACACACCTCTTCCCACACGCTGAGGTCCACCACTTGCGCCATGCACTTTGCCCCTTGCCCCCAGATGCCTGAGTTAGGAGGGACTAATGTTCGGATCGGAAGTCAGACGTACGTATTTGAGACGACTCAAGGAAAGCAGAAGTAGATGATGTGAATAGTTCACCACTCACGTTTTGTCAGTTTCAGGCCAGACTGTTGTTTTCTGGATGGTAGAAAACTTCTTAGTCTAAAACACCGTTCTTTGCTGATACAAATTTGCTTGACTTCTTAAATTTTTTTATTCTAACTTCTAGCACTTTGAGCCTCATAAGAAATTTTAAGAAGTTCACTTTTATTTTTTTTTGTGGTAGTGCTAGGGGTTGAGCCCAGGACCTTGATTGAGCATGGTGGGTCAGTGTTCTACCACTGAGCTGTATCTGCAGCCCTAAAGTGTTTGTGTTTTTGAATTAATTGAAGTACACGTTACAGACGAAGAGACTTGCTAACGTACAGTGTAGAGAGACTAGTAATCATTAGACCCTGCTTATGGAAAACAGAGTTTGTGAAAGAAATGTTTTGTATTTTTCATATGTAACAAAAATAACTTGGAATGGATTTTTGCATGGGGATAGTTTGTTTTCTTTAAGTAAATATACAATATTCTGTGTAGGAGGCAAAGGGGTGTCAGCTTCATTCTGTGGCTAAAGCAGCCTTACCAGGCTTACTGTGCACAGAACGGTTGGATTCACAGTGATTCTGAGATGATTTTCTTTTTGGAAAAATATGTGTATCTTATGTGCATCAGATACTAAGAATATTTGTACCCAGGCCAAGGATGAGGAAAAGACAACACAGCATAGAAAGTGGTGTTTGAGAATTCATCAGGGGTTGACTGCAAGTAGATTGAATAAGATGATTTAGAGTGAAAAACTACAGGAAGGCAATTGGATCAACGTATTGAAAACTGCATATTGGTGGGTGTTAGAATGATTTAGATGAAGGTTTCTAATTAGCCATAGTGAAGTTCTTTGATGCTTGTCGTTTGAATAATAAAAAGTTTTATTTACTGCTGACAAAAAGCAGCAGTCTATAATTGATATTCATTTATTTTATTAAAGAAATCTGATTTGGTAAAAACAATCAGAAAATAGTATTTTTAACGCTAGTAGTAAAATTTATTTTTTTAATCCATAAAAAGCCTCATTTATTTTTATAGCAATTTGATGACACATCTGCTTGCTTTATTCAGCTGAAAAAGAAAATGTTGGTTCTTGGTATTTGGTAAAATTGCTTTGTTAAATTATTTTCTGAATTGTTCAACTTTTAACAAATGACATTTGATACTAACACTGGAAAGCAATTTCAGCTAATTAAGTGGATCCCTCTATAAACCATTGGAACATTAAGATGACATACTGTTCATTCAAGATTATTTTAATTGGTACAATTATTGTAATTTTCTTGCAATTATGTGTTGAGCTAAAAGCTTTTGTCTAGATCATTTGAAGGTTTTTTTTGTTAACATACATTTAGTAGGAAGAAAGAGAGTAAAATAAAAACTAGATAAAGATTTTCTGTCTACTTCGTATTACAGCATTTTAGACAACCATTGAAATATTTTTAGTATAAAAATCTCTGCTATTTTAAGCAATGATAGAGGTTTTTTAAAAGATCAATTTTAGTAGTTTTCAGTGTTTTAAATGTTTGTTTTGACACTGCACATGCAATCTGTTAGTCAGGATCATATATATGACCAAGATAATTTTGTGTGAAAGATAACGAACTTCATTTTGATACTCCCCCCCCCACTTTTTTTTTTGAAACAGGATCTCACTGTGTAGTTGAGACTGCCCTGGAACTCACTCTGTAGCCCAGCCTGGTCTCCAACTCACAGTGATCCTCCTGCCTCAGCCTCCCAAGTGCTGGGATTACAGGCGTGTGCCACCATGCCTGTCTTCTCTCCCTTTATTTTTATAAAATAAATGAACAAGTTTGTACGGACCTTGGGAATGGTAGCCATTTTCCATTTTCAGAAGCAGCTGTGTGCAGGATACACACTCTGGATATCTAATTTAGAACCCTCAGGACTTGCCGCAAGCTCTCTGTGTCACTCTGTCTCACATTGTGCATAGCTGTCACAGGGTGGTTCTCCTGATGGGCCAGGGGTCGCCCCTGCTGTCTCAGGCCTCTCCGCCCCTCCTCTCCCCTTGTCTTTCACACTGGGTCACAACCTTGTGTTCTTCGCATGGAGACTTAGGTGAACATGACCAGCACGGGGAAATTGCACACTGGTCTGTTTAGGTTTGTGGAGTTGTCTCATCTCCCTTGTAGTAATTCTTTGTACTGATGCTTTTTCTCTTAATTTAGATTTTGAAATAGTAGAAATATTTATTCCAAGTGTCATTTCATCCATGCTGCCTCACACTTTTTGTGTATTGTTGGAAATCGTAATGGGATTCTATATTCTGGACATGGTAGCACTTCTCTGTGCCCGTTGTGCTTGCCATCATTCAGAATTGGTACTGTTCTGATATAATTATTGTTTCCCCACACACACCTTTCCTCAGTGCAGAGGCTCAATGTTTCTTTAAATTCTGAAAGAGAGCTGATGTAGTTCCTTGCAAAACCACAAGATAATTCTCGGTCCAGAGGAGGAATCCAAGCAGGTTTGTACTGAAAGCAAGATTATATAGTCTATAACAGAAAGCACACTTTATTCAGCTAGAAATAAGTAACCTTGTTGTATTTGCCAAGTTTAATGCGAAAATTGAGACTGCAAACTTTACAAGGATACCTGCAGTCAAATATGATTGACATTGAGTAATGTGCATCTAGTTTTGTGTTTTATGTATTCACTATTTTGATGGAAATTAATTAGAAAAATCTAATTCCTAACCATAAATAAAGGTGAAGGGCAGATTTTTTTTAACATTTATATTCATGCATCTGCACATCACGCCTAACTTTGTGTGCGGAGAAAACCCTGAAATGTACTGGGTATGTGATTGCTCTTGGGTGGGTTATGATTTTCATATCCTCATTGGGGACCGCCCTGTGGCTTGTACCCAGAGCAGGCTGTGAGCAGTTAATCCCCCCATGGGGTTGTCTTCAGAAGCGAGTCCCACCGGAGCCCACATTATGAGCTAGAAGTGTGGCCGGGGGCAGCGAGCCTCACGCTGAATCTTCCCCCACAATTGAGACCGCCTCATCTTGTATCAGTGGCTTTGTCTGGCCAGGGTCTTTGGCTGCTTGCTCAGCATTGGCCGTTCTGGCTCCTCGTTTCTCTCTTTAGTTCTGCCTTTGAGTTTTTCTTCTTGCATTGCACCGAAGCACCGAGTAGGAGATCACAGGGGTCTCTGGCATTCACTACTTGCTTCACCATCGTCGTTGTCACCAGATTTATAGCAACACCCAAAGGTGTGAGAGAAATTAATGGGAGAAAGCTTAAAATTCATTTATTTATTCTGAAGTAGTTCACCAACACCATTCAGGGGGCTTGGACAGATCTGGGGTTGCCACTCCAGCAGGGCGTGAGGGGCACTTGGCCCAGTGGGGAGAAAGGAGATGAGCAGCGGCTTCCACATCCAGTCAGGGGTCAAGTTGGTCCTCAGTGAGAGGGGAAGGTGGGAGTGTTTTGGGCACAGTGATTTGGAGGGCTGGCTGAGGTGAGAGCTGTCAGGAGGAGTGGGGCAGGAGGAGCAGCAGCAGGGGCTGGTGCTGGAGGGAGGGCCAGGTGGAGGTGAGGACCCTGGTCCGCCTCAGGAGGAGGCTGTGGGTGAGGACTCTGCGATTGCCCTGAGGGAAACCCAGAGCTGTCCTGAGAAAGCTCTGTTTCCCTGAGGCTCTGGTGCTGCTGCTCAGTTGTGCGAGCTGGGTTAGGGACCCCTGCTGATTGAGGGTGAACCTCCCTGCCGGTAGGCTAGGGAAGCACCCTGCTTACCTAGGGAGAGAGCCCAGGGCCTTGAGCGTGGTGGGTCATTGTTTTACCGCTGAGCTGTATCTGCAGCCCTAAAATATTTGTATTTTTAAATTCATTGAAGTACGTATTACAGACAGAAGAGACTTGCTAACGTACAGGTGCAGGACGGATGAGGCCAGCGGGAAGGATGCATGAGTGCAAGAGACTGGCACTTCG